GCGAGTATTGCCTCATCTCGACAATGTCAGTTTGCCACAAATCATCGTATTCTTTCACGACGACTGGCCTACGGGTAAAGTTTCTTCTCGCCGGTGCGTGGAGCTCGTCCACGAGCGATCTCCTCTCCAGGCTCACCGCTTCCTTCTTGCTTATTGCGATTCCTTTTGCTTCTTCATTGCCTCATCGTAGTAGTCGATAAAATTTTTTCTCATAGCTCTACGAAGATTGAGAATCTCTCACTCGACAAGACTCTTCGTCTCTCGCTCGTGACCGACGAGTTTTCCATCGAGTCGCGCTACACTCTCGTCGAGGAGACCTCTCAGATCGTGAATCTGTCGTTCCAACGTCACGTATCTGGTCTCGATGTAATCGTCGTGGTCCCTCTTCCAGGTCCGCTCGGTATTCTCCGAATCTTCGAGTCTCGAAAGTACTTCTCGCTTAAAATTTTCATAGAGCATACGATCTCGATTCGCATGATCGCTCATAAGCTTGAAGTGATGATCCAGATGCAGCTTGTTGACGGCATCGGTGTCCGCTTTAGGGTCGGCGAGATGTCTGATTACGCGTGACTTGGCGTTGAAAACCTCACCATCCTTGCAGAGACAATTCTCGCGCACGTAATTCTTCGAGACTCCGCCGCTCCACGATCCACGTCTCGTCACCCTGTCGCTTCCTCCTAGCTGTAGTCCGAATTTGTTGATAGACATTCCTGTAGCATCGCACGAGCAATACTGGTTACAGCGGTGACAACGACGATCAATTTATAATCAGACTAGTTTCGTGCAGTTCCTCGATAATCGAGAGAAACTCGTTGTTGTGCGCGTTGTTTCCCGCGGGAGGCGTCCAGCAATCGAAGGCGATCCACCAATTCGTTTGGATCATCCCAGTGCATGTAATCGACCGCGTTGTCGGTCACAGTCATGGTCTGTGGTATGTTACACTTGGGTAACGTGCGACCCGCACCTCTCTTGTCGAGATGTGCAACACCTCCACCTTTCTTAGATATCAGAGGTGTGATGATATGTTTGTATTTGTATCCTTTGTTTCCCAAAATAGGTAAATGCGCGTTATGACCGCGTCTGTGAGCGTTAGTAGCGAGTAGTATGCTCTTGTACTTTTGTTTGTCATCCTCCGTACACAATGTATCGTCGGGAAGTCTTTTAAATATTAATTTAAACAGGCCGGGCGTGCCCGCGTATTTCACACCGTCCACAATCAAATTGTCGTCTCTATCAATGTCGAAGGCCTTGTCTCCGAGAAACGTTCCCGCATCGTTGAAGTATACGCCGTACACGTTGTCGATCCCTCTCTTCTTGTCACCGCTCAAGAGCTCCCCGATGTACTCTTGGCCCAGCGGACCCATTTGACCATACAGAGCTTCCTGGTCTTCGAACGTTTGCATCGTCTCTCGCAAGGATGTCATGAGAGAAGGATCCGCGCTGTCGGTTTCATTCGACCTCTCGGGCTTTCGAACGCTAATTTTTGCGGTTGGAGCGAGATATCCGGCTTTATTCGTTTACCCATTGGCACGTTGCTGTGCTGCACTGTGCTCCATCGCTTTCGATTCTTCTTCTTCTTCAACTCCGGTGTAGACGGCTCTTTGATAGGATCATCGTCTCCGGTATTCTCAACGATTTGTTTCAACGGCTCTACGATCAGTTTCAACCGTTTCTCCAATTGCACCTCTTGCTCCACTCTACCCGTCTTCAACGTCCGATGCTTCTTGCGAATCGACTCGCTCGTACGAGCGATTTCCTTCGCGATCTTCTCCCTCTCGTCGATATCTTTCGTGTCGAGCGTCATCGTCAACGTCTCGAGAACAACTAACTATTCCGCGGTACCGCAAACTCGTTAAAACCACGTCTGTATCGTCCATCGTTAATCGTACTATCCTTGTCTATCACTAAAAAACCGTACTTGTGCTGCCAACATGCGTGACACAATGTACAAAAATCTTCATACGTCAGGTCCGTATTCACATGATCGTTGTAGACATGCTTAAGGTTTGTTCCATTCTGCTTGAATATTACGAGTAAATTCGCGTTGTCGCGCACGAGATGTTTCGGTATTTTTGCATATGTTTGGCACAGATAGAAACAATCGACTTTCGAATGTCGACCCATAACAAAGTACTCGCGTATCGCATTCTGTTTGTCGCACGCTATATCGTCAAAGAAGAATACGGAATTCGGTAATGCCTCGCTGTGCGGTACAATTGTGTTGTTGTCTGAGAATGTAAAGTAGCCGATTTCATCGATCGATCCGAGCAATCTTTCGAGATATCAATACTTTGGTTGATTCAACGATTTCGAGTACACGTACACGTTTTCGAAATGTACACCGTTCAGACTTTCTAGCAGACTAATCATTACATTGGTTTTACCGCAATTCGAGGGACCGCAAATGATACCGCGTATCGTGTTTGGCAGCATTTTACCATGTCTGCACGCCTTCTCACAAACCCCTTGCGTTTTATCATCCATGTTTTTTACACGGATCGTGTACGGTTGTTGTACAAATTTCATTTTTTACCAGACTCTTTCTCATCCTTGTTATTACGCGACGAGTGCGCGGTATCGGATGTCGGAAAGAGCGGTGCTCGGATATTCGTCGCTAGATCTAAAATATCTCTATTTCCATACATGATTCGGACATTATCCTAAAAAAAAAATATATTGTTTCAAACACACGATTAGCGATACACGTTTGCGATATTCACCTCCTTCCGTTCCTTCTTATTATCCCGGTTATTCATTGTACGTCGTCGTCCGACAAACTTTGATATTCCACTAGTTAGCGATCGATACGCGCCTCCTATTTATAGGTGATCGCTGTCGAAACACACCTCAGTTGGAAATGTGATTTACACGCGATACATTAGAATTCGCGTTCTATGAAACGATACAAGGGTGCCGGTTTACTGAACAGTGTGATAAATCGACTACCGTTGGAGCTGCATATACCCGGCTACCAATTTTGCGGGCCGGGGACTCGTCTGCGGAAACGACTCGCGCGAGGGGATCGAGGTATCAATCCGTTGGACGCGGCGTGTCGCGATCACGACGTCGCGTACTCGCAAAACCGCGAATTAGCGGACCGCCACGCCGCCGATCGCGTTCTCACCGATAAAGCGCGGGAACGGATCACCGCTGCTGACGCGACTCTCGGTGAGAGGGCCGCTGCTACCGCCGTATGGGTTGCTATGAAAGCAAAGACGAAATTGGGGATGGGTATGACAAAGAGAAAGAAGAAGACCAAGAGGAGAACGCTTCCGGCGGCGAAACGCGGTGGTATGTTACCGTTATTACCGCTCTTGGGAGTCATCGGTTCGCTTGCCGGTGGAGCGGCGAGTGTTGCAAAGGTGGTGAATGACTCTAAGGCTGCGCGACGACAACTCGAAGAGATAAAACGTCACAATAAAGCTATGGAAGGGGGATTTATCTCGCTCCGTACAAGCGGGACAAAGGATTGAAGAAAAAAAAAAACGTCGAAAAAACGATAGAGATGCCCGCGGGTGTCACCACCAATCTACAATTGTTTGCATTGGCGAGGCGTATGCGAATATCATATTTTCGAGGTGTTTACATGCGTAACGCTTTACCTGACAAGATACATAAAAATGAGAGCGGTATCGTGAATTTGGATGATGTCGACGGGTCGGGCACGCATTGGATGGCGTACGCCAAGAGAGGCGATCGCGCCGTATACTTTGACAGCTTTGGCAATTTGCAACCGCCGAAGGAGATTACACGCTACCTCGGAGGCACCGATACAACGATAACGTACAATCGCACAGCCTACCAGACGTACGATCAAACGATCTGCGGACAATTGTGCCTCCTGTTCCTCCGACATTTAAGAATCGATCCGCCATCGATCGACATCAGTCATCGATAGAATCTCGGCAATGTCGCTGACGCTCACTCTAAGCGGTAAAAGCAGCGTTCTCACGGTGAATTATTTTCCACACGAGCTCGGCCTAACCACGATGGAGACCTACAACACGATTCCGAACGTGACAGTAGCAAACAATAAATTTTATTTCGATGACGATGACGAAGAAATTACAATTCCCGAAAGATCGTACGAATTGGACGCCATTGCTTCTTATCTGAAACGCGCGATACTGCAAAAACGAGGAAAAAGTGAAGAGCAAGATTATCCATTGTCAATTCGTCCCAACGTTAATACCATGAAGAGTGAAATCATGTGCGCTTTTCGGATAAATTTCGCCAAACCGAATACCATCGGACCATTGTTGGGATTTTCGACGGGTCGTATACTGGAACCGAAAAAGTGGCACGAATCAGACTCCTCGGTAAACATTGTCAATGTAAACATAAGAGTAGAATGCAGCATTACCACGGGTGCGTACGCCAACGACAAGTCTGTGCACACGATACACGAATTTTCACCGAACGTGCCTCCGGGATATAAAATCTCGGAAACGCCAGCGCAAATCATTTACCTTCCGGTCATCGCAAGGAGCGTTACTGATATCACCTTGTGTGTGGTGGATCAAGACGGACGATTGATTGATTTTCGCGGTGAGGAAATTACCATCAGACTGCACTTGCGACGACGTGGTGCGAGGAAATGCTCGTGTTGAACGAGAGAGAACAGCGAATGATTGAGAAAACAACAAAAATTGAGAAAAAATCGCCAATCAAGAAGCTGAATACATCGAGTGTAAACTTTTTAAAATCATTGGAATTTGTTGTGAGAAACGTTTAAAGAGATGGATATACTCGACATCGCTGACGAGCCCGTCTTCGACGAACGTATCGTGAAATATGAGATGCACACGTACAATCCGTACGCTAACACAACGTTGGGACACAGCGACGAGATATGAATACCTATACAGCAACATGATTTATACACGTTGCCGTGTGAGAGTTTTCTTTACATTGAAGGAAAACTCGTTACTCCTGCCGATGAGAATAGAGATAACGTGTGTATAATGGGAAATAATTGTGTCGCGTTCATGTTTGATGAAATGCGATACGAGCTCGACGGAGTTGAAATCGATCATAACAGAAACGTTGGAATAACGAGCACGATCAAAAACTATATATCGCTGACGACGGAGAAGAGCAAGATTCTGAAACATGCATCGTGGAATCCGAATGGATATCCGTTGATCGATGGAAACTTTAATTTTTGCGTTCCGCTCAATACTCTTTTGGGATTCTGCGAGGACTACAAACGGATTGTAATCAACGCTCGTCACGAACTTGTATTGATACGATCGCGCAACGATAACAATTGTCTCGTTGGACGAGTCGGTACGAATCCAAAAATCGAGCTACTCAAGATACAGTGGCGAATGCCGCACGTATCTCTAAGCGAAGTCAACAAGCTGTCTCTTCTTCGAACTTTGGAAAGTGGAAGATATTTAAGCATGTGCTCCGTTCGTGGGATCTGTACGAATTTCCTCTGCTGCAAAATACAACGAAGCATTCTTGGGCGGTCAAAGCCGCGACGCAATTGGAAAAACCGAGATACGTAATCTTTGCTCTCCAAACCGGTCGAAAAAATGTACTGTCTGAAAACGCTGCGCAATTTGACGCTTGTAAACTCACTAATGTGAGACTAAATCTGAATTCAGATTTTTATCCGTACGACGACATGAACTTGTATTTCGACAGAAATCGATACGCTATACTGTACAACATGTATGCGCGTTTCCGCAAAGCTTATTACGGATTCGATAATACGTATTTGGATATCGATAATTTCTTGAAAGCCGGTCCGTTTGTAGTCATAGATTGTTCGCGACAAAACGACTCTGTCAAGAGCGCCACCGTTGACGTGCAAATAGAATTTGATTATAAAGAAAATATACCGGCCAACACCACCGCCTATTGTCTCATTATACACGATCGAATGGTTGAATATAATCCACTGAACAACATTGTGCGCAGACTCGTATGATTTTTATAAATTGGAGATGCGTACGCGGACATGTCAGTTTTCCGACGATCGACGACGATGTCGAATGTACCAATTTTCGTCGATCTGCAAGGTTACGCGTTCAACAACATTTTTATTGTGAAAGAGGTAGCGGTACTTCGAGATGGCGAAACGTCATCTCATTACGTATTTCGTGAACACGTACCGTGGTATTTGTTGACAAAATCGGAAAAATCGCTGGTGTGTTGGTTATGGATACACCACCACGGCTTCCGATGGGAAGATGGACACGTCTCGTACAGTCAGATGAAAAGCCTTATCAACAATGCCATTGGTACGAAACCGCCTCTGATATACGTAAAAGGACTCGAGAAGAAAAAGTGGCTGTGTGAAATTTTGGATGACGATGATTTCGAGATTGAAACGATCGATGTGGATTACGAAGATATCGCACGCCTGACAAACTTGGATGTAATCGGAACCTTGCGTTGTGGGTATCACACGAGACATTGCGCTATGCAGAATGTTTGCAAATTGTACAAGTGGTGGTTTGAGCGTAACAAACATGTAAAACAACTATGATTTATGTTAATAAAATGATGTATATTGCACCCGTATGACTTTTATTCCGCCTTTTACCCGTTACATAATCCACCATGTAATATGACCTATCGATTATCTCGCGACGTATAATAGATTATACGTAAGAACATTTATGCGACATGTAATATGATCTGTCGCTTATCTCATGAGATATAATAAATTATTATTTGTAAGAACGTCTCTCATACATCTATCGAACGTCTATCGAACACCTATCGAACGTCTTTGAACGTCTCTCGTACGTCTATCGAACGTCTATTGAACATCTCTTGTACGTCTCTCGTACATCTATCGAACGTCTCTCGCACGTCTATCGAACGTCTTTCAACATCTCTCGAACATCTTACGTACGATTTTTAACATCTTTTGTACATCTTTTCAACATTACTTAAACCACTTTTAACATCTATCAAACGTATTTTAACGTTTATTACTATAGCGAAATTGACGTTTTTGCGTCGAGCTGTATATAAGGTGTGCGGAAGAGAGAAATTTATCAGTTCAAAGTGTGCACGCGGTGGAGAAAAAAAGTATAGAAAATGGAGCGTGATCAGAATAGAAAACTTCCGAATACGAGAAGTGTAAAGATTGCGGAGTGTACCACAAGCCGATAGCTGTAGTCGAGTCTCGTCCGAGGGCGACTCAAGCGCCTCCCGTCCCCCCTCGTAATCGTGAAAGGTGTTAAAGGCTCTAAATTCAGTTAAAACAATTTTTTTTAACATATATCATACATTAATTGAACATCTATGCAACGTCTTTTAACATCTATCATACATTAATTGAACAATTATTAACATCTTTTAACGTCTTTATCATACATCTTTTAACTTTTACTTTTCATGAGTCTAAGGCATCCTTGTGAGAGAAGTATTCACGTGTGTCATACGTATCTTATGATATCTGTTACGAGAATTGTTTACGCCGCAGTAGTTTATGAATAAGAGTAAAACAGCCTCGTGAGAGAAATATTCACGGGTGCCAAACTCATTATATGGAGTCGCTATGATATCTCTTATGAGATTTGTTTATCCCACAGTAGTTTGTAAATGAGTGTAAGTTACCCTCGAGTATTTACGAAGATTTTATCTTATGGAATCGCTATATCTGTTACGAGAATTGTTTATGCCGCAGTAGTTTATACTAGATTTATCAAACACCTATAGACCGATATTCGGTTACTCGGGAGAAGAATTATGTTTCACAATTATAAATTTGGAGTATGTTTGAAAAGATAACCCCCGTAGAGCGGTTACATAGATTTGCAACACATCTAAGGGATGTACTATAAAAATGCATCGGAGGCTGGGACGGTCACAAGTCTCCTGTAGTTCGTGAGAATCTGTGTGTGACAGTTTTGCGAGTGAGTCTCAGGAGAGTTTGAAAAAAAATGGCGCAGTTATATGTGAACAAGATTCACGTGATCGAGCATTTGTTGAGGACCCTTACGGACCGGATCGCCGTCCTACACGGCGCGATCCACCAATCTCGGGAGGCCACCCTGATGGTGCAGCGACACGTCCCCGGATCGTACCACGTAGAGTACGATGTACACGAGGACGGAAACGAGGTGATACTGGCGTCGCTGTAAGTAAAATTCTTTTCTACTTTATGTAAAACTAGCTAGGTTTTATTCTTAAATTTATACTATTTTTTATTTTGCAGGCGGGACATACAAGAGAGTCTCGCATTGACAACTACTCAGGTGGAAATACTGAGCACGATGTATAATCCGATGAAGCAGGAGGCTGCGCGCACCGCGGAACTGCTGAGGGTGGTGCAGAACACGCTTTCTGCGGACGCTGTGCAACCGTAAGTATCACATTTAAAATTTATTTAATTTATATAATTTATTTAATTTATTTAATTTATTAATTGATAAATTTTTTATCTGTTACAGATGATGGACCCGCGGATTTTTATACGTATATTATCATAGTTTTTTATCACATTTTAACACACACACACACACACACACGCACACACACACACAAAATTGTAAAAAACTATGAATAAAATTTGTTTAAAACATTTATGTTGTAATCTTTCTTTTTCCTTTCTCCTTCTATCCTTATATTACATATTAAGTTTAGATTTAAATTAGAGTTTGTATTGAATTTATATATTTATATGAATGAAATTTGTTTAAAATATTTGTGTTGTGATCTTTTTTTCCTTTCTCCTTCTATCCTTAAATTACATATTAAGTTTAGATTTAAATTAGAGTTTGTATTGAATTTATATATTTATATTTTACCGCGTATAATTTGTATTAAGAAGAAAACATAAAGTATGTAAGCTTGTAGGTTATCAAGCTTGGCCTTGTCGCGGCTTGTCGACTCGCGCGTGAGAGGCAGTATGTAACAAGACTCCGAGCTGAGAGTATCGATGATATCGTACGGAGACAGATAAAGGTTTACCATCGGCAATTGTATTGATTCAGGTTAGTTTTGGTTCACTCGCTCACTGTAATGTTTCTGGTCTTTGTTAATGTGTACATATTATTACTATTACAGTTGTTTACTGCATCATGCGTGTCGATTCTTAAACCGAACCCTCGCTCCATTGGAGTTCCATAAATTGAGTGCCCTACAAATCAATACAATGGAGAATAAAGCAAAGTTTTATTTTGTCTCGGAGGCTGGTGCAGATACGAAAAGTTCTGTAGTAAAAGTTAAAAGAATTCAGCTGCTTGGTCAAGAAGAAAGTTTTTTGTTTCCAGCAGATAAGCAGACTAGTGCTCAACATAAACAGCTTTTTGAAAATCCAATTGTGAAAAATGTCGTTAAAAGTTTAAAGGTACGCAATAAATTTCGCAATGTTGTGCTGACACTATCTAAGGAACTTGAGAATATTTATCGGGACACAGAAAGCAATGTTGTGTTGCACGACGAATATTTGGAAGAGATTACCACAGAGCAAGAGTCGAATGTAAACAGTGAGTCAGCAGGAACATTTGAAAGAAAAACAAAGCTCCTTGATAAAGGACATAGTAATTGAAAAATTCAACGGTGAAAGTATAAATGCGACGGTCTGGATTAATTTATTTGTGCAGGAGTGTGACAGAGTGGGGATTGCCCAAAACAAATACGCTGAAGTATTAAGATTGTTTTTAGAGAAATCTGCACTAGATTGGTATAATGTATTTGTCATGCAGAACTCTGTGCTAAATTGGGAGGCAATAACGCCTTTATTGATACCTTCTCTGCACAGTCTTGGACAGATATAACGTATGCGTATAACTTTAAGTTCTATAATGGCTCGCTATTAGAATATGCGTTAAAGAAAAGAAGATTATTGTTAGAAGCGGATGATAGCTTGTCTATAAACACACAAATCAACATGATTGTTATTAGCTTACCAAATTTTATCCAAAATAAGATAGATAGAAAATCTATTATAAATATAGAAAACTTAATGGCAAAATTGAAACAATTTGGAAAGATTAATGAATCGAAAAATGATAATGTAAACAAGAGAATTTTAAACGAAAAAAGACCATGTAGCATTTGTAATAGGTTAGGTTTCAAAAATAGATTTTATTTAGAAA